ATTGTTGCCACTATTTACTTTTTAATTAGGTACTGTAGATTGGTATCTCTGACTCCCTATTTTCAGTCTTGTAACTTTGTTTTACTTTGATTGCTACAGTAACTGGGCTGACTTCTGGGTGGGTTGTCTTATATATTGATCTCAGGTTAACGTTTGCTGTTGTGGATTCTCTGTCCAAAGAATTATTCCCTTTAGTATTTTTTTGTAAGGTTAGTAGGTTTTTTTCCCCTCCAAATTCCTTTAAATTCTCCTCATCTGGAAGTTTTGCTGGATATAGGATTCTTTTTTTAAAATTTTTTTTAAGGATATAGGATTCTTGATTGGCAATTTTTTTCTTTTCAACTTTGTCATCCTATTGCCTTTTTGATTGTATGATTTCTGTTGAAAAAAAATCAGAGCTTATTATTCCTCCTTAGTATGTAGTTTTTTGCTTATCCTGAGCTGCTCTTAATGATTTTTCCTTGTCTTTGATTTTTGAAAAGCTTGAATTTACATGTGATTTTTTTTTTGGGGGGGGGGGCTGTCATGTTTGGGATGCTTTCAGCTTCTTGTGTATTTTCTCCTCTTTCAGAATGTTCAAAGATTTTCTTTCCCCCCTGTAGCTCTTGGACAATTTTCTGTGTGCTTTGTTTCTTCCTCTTCTGGAATTCCTAGTATGCATGCTGTTCATTTTGACAGTGTCACATAATTCTTAGACTCTTTTTATTGGATTATTTTTGTTCTTTTTAGGGCTCAATCCTCTCATAGTTTGGTATTGGGAGGATTGTCTTCAAGCTCCCTCCATGGCTTCAATTCCACTGCTTTGCTCTTTCCAAGTGTTTTCTAGTTCTACTGTCTTAGCATTAATTTCCTGGAATTCTATTTGCTGTTTTTATATGGTTTCTAATTTTTCATTGATTTTATCAGATTGCTCTTGTAGTGTTTTCCTGAATATGTCTATAGTCCCCGCCCCCCACCCCCACCCCCATGGCTCGCTTGATATTTTTCTCCATCCATTGAAAGTATCTAAGAATCATTATTCTAGAAATAAGAAAATATTCTAAAATTGTTTGTGGTGATTATATACCTTTTAATATGATTGAACTATTGAGCTGTATGATATGTGAATTATATGCCGATAAAGCTGTTAGAAAATAAAAAGAATAATTCTTCTGAATTTCTTTTTTGGTAGTGCCAAATGCCTAATCTTCCTCAGGAAGGTCTTTTGACCCTGTGTTTTGGTCACTTATTTTGGCACCTTTGTGCTTTATTTCATTGAATGAGCTGTCACTGGGTGTACATAAGCACGAATGGTTATTGCAGCATTATTCATACTAGTTAAAAGGTGGAACCAACCTCAATGCCTATCAATGGTTGAATAAGCAAAATATGAAACATGCATATAATGAATTACTGTGCAGCTAATAAGAGAAATGAAGTCTTGATATGTGCTACAACATGGATGGAGGCTGAAGACATTACACTGGTGAAATAATTCAATAACAAAAGTGTAAACATGAGGGGGTTTCAACAGATTTGTGGGAAAGTTGAATTAAGAGATAGGGAATTTTTCCAAGAATTTTTTGACGTTTCCTCAGATTCATATGATCTCACAGTAAAGACAAAAACTGGCTTATGTATAAAATCAAAGCTTAACAGAAGTTACCAGAGGTAGGAAGGAGAGGAAAAGCGAGAGTATTTCCATTGCTTATGGAGTACTGCACTTTGGTTCATAGTGATGGAAAGACTGCATTGATTAAGTGTAGGGTTGCACAGTCAATTAATACAATTGTGGCAGTAAATTATACACCTGTGTCTTAGTGCTGCTGAAACAGAAACACTGCAAGTGGATGGCTTTAACAAATACATGTATTTCCTCATATTTTAGGAGGCTGGGAGTTTGAATTCAGGGTGCTGGCTCTAGAGGAAAGCACTCTCTCTGTCTGCCCTGAAGGTCCTTGCTCTGCAGCTGTGGTTCTGTTTCCTGCTTCCCTGGAGACCTCCAGGTGTGCTAACATCTGTCTTATTCCGTCTCTGTTTCAGTTCACTCTATCTAATCTCTCTTTAGATCTCAAAAGAGATTGACTTAAGATACACCGGACACTAATCATGCCTCCTTACCATAATGATGATAACCCATCCACAGGTAGACTTTGGGTCATGACCAAAAATTCATTCAGAGGTGTATCTTTAAACTGAATTTATAAGAGAGTCAAGACATGTGCATATGCTTTTTTTAGTTAGTTTTTTTGCAATGTAAAAAGTGAATCCACACACAGGGGTGGGGTGGGGTGGGGGTGGGTGGGATTGGGGAATAACACATCCAATAGGAGGTCAATCTTTAACATTAAAAAAACTCCAATGTCTCAACAAGAAAAAGACAATTACATTGAAAAATGGGCAGAGGCATGAACAGATACTAAAAACCAGACACTCAAGTGACCAACAAATGTATGAAGAAATGCTCAAGTTCATCAGCTAACACAGAGCTGCAAATCAAAACAAAACTGAGATACCAACTTGTCCCACAAAACAACAATGCTGGAATCCTCATACATGCTGGGGAACAACAAAAGGTGCAGCTAACATGGAAAGCAGTAAGCTGCTTTCTCAAAAAGTTGGCAACAGAAATACCAAAATGACGCTGTGATTCCTCTCATTTAGGTTGTTTCCTAAAGGATGGACATTTAGGGTGTTTCCATCTTTTTGCTCTTGTAGATGGTGCTGCAATGAGCATGAGCGTGCATAGATGATTTGTGTCATGACTCTGACTTCTGGGAGAAATGCTAGGAGAATAGTCATGAATCTATATAGGTTTGACAGAGGGATTTGTATATGTATATTTACCTTTGCTACAAATATGTCCATGAAGGGAGCATCGCTATGAACACTTCTTAGATATAACCAAACATCCTGAGGGAATGAGCTGTTGAGTCTAGGGCATCAGATCACAGTCTCAGGGGACACTGAGGTCAATTGGCACAACATAGATTACAAAGATAATGCTTTATATCCCATGTGGTGGGTAGTGTTGGGGTCTTAAAGGCCCATGAGTAGCCAATATGGTACAACTGAGCCATCTAAGCTCAGGAGGAAAGAGTGATCAAAATCCAAAACCAAAATGTACTAATGGACCACACACACAGCAGTCCCCACACTCTTGTGACCAGAACTAGATGGTGTCTGGCTACCACTATCACCTGCTCTGAGAAAGATCACCTTAGGGTCCTGGGTAAAGTAGAGAAAAAATATGGATCAGAACTCAAAATCATACGAAAGACCTGGCTTACAGGTTGGATAGGGACCGGTGGGACCTCCAAGACTATGGACAGTTACTCTCCTGGTCTGGAGCTGAACTCACTCCCCCGTTGAAATAATTAACCATTTGAAACCAATGGGCAACATTTTAACCTAAAGACAAAGTAAAAGGAAAGGGGGAACAGAACCAGGAAGCAGGGAGGAAGTGGGGTAAGTGATGGTACATCGAGACCATTGCAATGGCTAAGTTGAAACAAAACATGTATGAATTGTTGAATGCAAAACTGAGGAGCTGTTCTGTAAAACTTCATGTAATTCATACACACACGTTTGTTTAAAACGTTTAAAAAAGTTATCATTAAATTAAATTTCTGTTAGGAGTATTTTATTCATAGATCTGTTACAGGTTTGCCATAATAAAAAGGTGGTAGAGGGGGAAGTAACACGTTTTCATGGCAATACAGGCAGTTCCTAGTGAAGGTTGGACTTACATACACCTAGCACTTTATTTTTTATTATTATTTTTAGTGGAATCTTTTGTTTTTTTAATTAGTTGAGGTTTAATACATGTATCATATCATTTCGTATTTCAATCATGCCAAGTAGAATTGTACAATTGCTACCACAATCAATTTCCAAACATTGTATTTCTACACAGATTCCTTGACATTGTATCACTTTTACCCCAACACCACTCTACTCCCTTCTCCCTCAACAACCGGCACTCTAATGTTATGTGAATCTACTCACACTTTGAAACACTTTTTATTTTTTTAAGCAAAAGGGAAGAAATTTATTGGAGCCCATACGGGGAAACCCTAGAGGGGCCCAGCATCCCCTACTGTGTAGGCATGCCCAGCACAGGGTCACACCATTCACTGTACCCCCATGTCCCAGAGGGACTCCCCTCTAGCCGAGCCCCAAAGCCCCAGGACTGGCTGGGGGTGCGGACGTGAAACACTTTAATGATCGTGAACTTAACTTCCCTTTGAAACATTTGAGCCGGCCCCAACCTGCAACAAGTTCTTCCTCACAATCGCTTTCACTTGCTGCACGGGCAACTTTGAAATCATTGACCAACCTGTGAGATTTTTGTTCACTAACCATTTCGCTGCTATCCAGTTGATTGCGACTCACAGTGACCCTATAGAAATTCCGAGATGTCGAATTTTTTTTTGAGATGTAAATCTTCATGGGAGTCAAACCGCAGCGTGTTGCTCCACGGGAGGGCTGGTGGGTTTGGGAGAAGGCGTTGCGGGAAGCTGCGACGCTTATCCGCAGCGCCACCAGTTACTTCGCTGCTCGGAAGTAAAGACCCTGTTTTGTTTGTTGGTTGGTTTGCACTAAATTAAGGCTAGATGCATCCGTGCTGGCGCACCTAGAAATCTCACTCAAAGACATAGTCACAGTTGGTTAAGGAGGCTTCTTCCACTTTGACTCTCTATTGGTTAGCGTGGCCATCAGTCCCCGCAGTTGTGAAGACACCGGAGACGGAAGCGTGCTGTTAAGGGGCGGAATCTTCCGGTCGCCATTGCTAAGGTGTGACGCGCTTTCTAATAGGCGGAAACGTGCTTCTCCCGCCTTCTCCCGCCAGCTGCCAATGGGCGGCATTCCTAGGGGCCTTAAGAGACTGCGTACGGAAGCTCCGCCCGTCCGATTGGTTGTTAGGGGGCGGGCCTTGTAGCTGGTAGGCTGCTGACCCTGCCTGTTCAGGATTTGTTGCTGGGGAGAGGCACGTGAGGAGGCGGTGGCTTGAAGCGAGCATGGCGGGAGGAATGAAAGTGGCGGTCTCCCCGACAGTTGGTCCCGGGCCCTGGCGCTGGGGGTCCCGGGGCGGTGGGGCCGTGCGGCTCCTCCTGGTCCTCTCGGGCTGCGTGGTTTGCGGCGCAGGTACTGTCGGGACAGCAGCACCCAATGGGGCGGGTGCTGCGTGGGCTATTTTCAGAAAAGTGGGCACCGGCCCGCGGGTGTGGTCCGTTGGTCAGCCGAGGCAGTGGGCTGCGTGCTGAAGTGGAGGCTTGGGCCGCGGAAGGCGCTGGGGCCGAGGGTCTGGCACTTGGGGGGCTCGGTGGAGGTGCCCAGAGCGGGGTGGCCGGGGCAGGAAGGGAGGCCTGGGCGTGACAGGTGGTCCTGCGGCTGCTAGCGCTGCAGCCACTCCTTAAAAGGAGGGACCCCCGAGCCTGTTGCTGGTGCGGGGGGCTGCCACCGGCCAGGAGCGTGCCACTTACTCAGCAAAGCAGTAGCTGGCACCTGAGCAAGTGTCGTCAGGCCCAGGGCAGGGATGTCAGAACGGATCCCGCTAGTTGACAGGCATGCAGTGGTGGCGCCTTTGAAAGACACTGGCTCAGAAAGGACCGGATGTCATAACATTCCTCAATTTAAAAAAAATACAAATACGCTTTAGCTTATGGTAGGTTTTGTCAGGCAAAAGTATATGGTACCTGTTGCTGGACCATTGACTTTGGACTAGGAAAGAAACTGCTTCCCTTGTCTGCTCTTAAAATTCAGGAAACCGAGAGAGTGCTCTTGAAAACTTGCAGGTAGTCCTTTGTCATTCAACCTATGGCAGAAAAGTAAGTGAGGTTCTCAAGCTTCCACTGGAGGGAGTTGAGACTCAGGAGTCAAGGAATCTTATCTTGTACACACAGCTTGGGTGCGCTCTCCGCCCCCTTTGATGACTGCCCATCTCTTGCTGCCACATGCATTATCCTGAGGGGCATCTTGCAGGCGCTCTCAGCATCCCTGGATCTAGTTCCAAAGCACAGATGTTCAAAAACATTTGTTGGTTTGTTTAATAGAGGGAGGAGGAGAAGTACCCAGAAACGTGCCCTGGACTGACACTGGGTTTGGTTAACTTATAAAATGAGACACGTAATACCTACCTTGAAGGTTATAGAGGTGAAATGAGAAAATACATGGGAAAATGCCAGCACATTGTATATACTGAATTAGTGGTTCCTTTTTCTCTTTTTAAGTTTCTGCCCCCCCCGCCCCCCAACAGTTGTATCGGCATATAATTCACCTAGCATACACTTCAATGGTTTAAGTATCTGTAACAAACAGGAACTTAGCATGAAGAAGAGTAAGCTCAAAAGATATTTGTTGTGTGGCCTGACAGAGTCCATTGTTGGCAGCTATAATGAGACAATCATGTTCTAGAAAAGTTTCTCAGAGTAAAGAGACAATAAGTAAAGATGGTGACCAAGATAACGGTGAAGACAGTAAGTTCCTTCTCACTGAAAGTTTAAATCTCTGATTATAAAAATACTATCTTAATTTTATATCCTTGAAGTGTCAAGAAGTAGGAAAAAACTCAGGTATTGGATTTAGAGACAATTCATTTTAGCCTTTTCCCCCCATACTTGATTAAAAATTAAAAAAAAAAAAATCAGTTCTCCTCCCTGGAAACTATTAGTTGTTACCTGGTGTAGTTTTCTCACTTGATTTTCTAGCATAGACTTTCCCCATGCCACTTAAAGTTCTTCCTAAGTATTATTTTTACTTGTATTACAATCCATGGTGTGGACAGACCGTTATTAATGTTCTCTCCATTTTTGGTTAAGTATTTGTGGAGTTCCTGGTGTTTTTTTTTTTTTACCCCTGTGAGCAACACTTCATGAACTTTTTGGCATATAAATATTTTGTTGCATTTGTATTTTCAAGGTAGATTCTCAAAAATGAGAACTAGAAATGATCACATCCAAAGGTAAAAGTTATGTTTCCTTGCAACACCTTGTGAAAATGCTCCCAGGGAAGGTGTGCAAGTTTATCCCACAGTCAGCAGTGTTTGACTGCTTATGACCGTGTTAGTTAGGTACTCTGAGTCAGTTCCGATTCATGGCGACAAGGGAGCATTAAAAAGTTGGGAAAATGGAATGAAAAGTTAATGGAATTTTTCCGTGGACCTCTTGAATCCCAGTTTTTGGCATGTTCATAATTGCTGTGTTTGAACTCATTGTTGCAGCCACCGTGTCAATCCATTTCAATGAGAATCTTCCTCTTTTCGGTTGGTCCTCTACCAAGCCTGATGTCTTTCTCCAGGGGCTGGTCCCTCCTGATAATAGGTCCAACATGTGAGACGCAGTCTTGTCATCTTGCTTCTAAGGAACAGTATGGTTGTGTTTCTTCCAAGACAAATGCTTGTCCTTCTGGCAGTCCATGGTGTATATATATATATATATATATATTTTTTTTTTTTTAATAATCATTTTATTAGGGGCTCATACAACTCATTACAATCTGTACATACATCATTTGTGTCCAGCACGTTAGTACATATGTTGACTTCATCGTTCTCACAACACCTGCTTTCCACTTGAGCCCTTGGTGTCAGCTCCTCATTTTTCCCCTTCCCTCCCCACTTCCCCCTCCCCCTGAATACTTGATAATTTATAAATTATTATTATTTTATCATATCTTACCCCAGCTGGTGTCTCCCTCACCCACTTCTCCGCTGTCTGTCCCCCAGAGAGTAGGCCATATGTAGACCTTGTCATCTGTTCCCCCTTTCTCCCTCACCTTCCCTCCACCCTCCTGATATCGCCACTCTCTCCACTGGTCCTGGGGGGGTTCATCTGTCTTGGGTTCACTGTATTTCCAGTTCCTGTCTGTGCCAGTGTACACCCTCCAGTCCAGCCGGATATGTAAGGCAGAATTGGGATCATGGTAGTGGGGTGGAGGAAGCATTTAAGAACTAGAGGAAAATTGCATATTTCATTGTTACTACACTGCACTCAGATTTGCTCCTCACCTCCCCGCAGCCCTTCTGCCCGGGTCCCCACTCTGCACTTCCCCTCATTCACAATGTTATGATATATATATTGTTTTATCTTTGTTGCCTGATACCTAATCCCTTCGCCACCTTGTCATCTTACAGGCTGGTGTGCTTCTTCCATGTGGGCTTTGTTGTTTCTCAGTTAGATGGCCCCTTGTTTATCTTCCAGCATGTGGGACCCCAGATTCTATGTAATTTGACAGCTTGGCACCATCAGCTTTCTTCACCGCATTTGCTTATGTACCTGCTTTGTCTTCAGCAATCATGTTGGGGTAGGCTGGTGTGCTTCTTCCTTGTGGGTTTTGTTGTTTCTTAGCTAGATGGCTGCCTGTTTGTCTTCAAGCCTTTATGACCTCAGATGCTGTAGCATTTGATAGCCGGGCACCATCTGCTTTCTTCACCACTTTTGCTAATGTACCCCCTTTGTCCTCAGCAATTGAGTAGGGACAGGCTGGTGTGCTTCTTCTGTGTGGGTTTTGTTGTCTCTCAGCTAGATGGCTGCCTGTTTATCTTTAGGTCTTTAAGGCTTCAGGTGCTTTATCTTTTGGTAGCTGGACACCATGAGTTTTCTTCACCACACTTGCTTGTGCACCCATTGTCTTCAGCGACTTCAGGTATTATATCTTTTGGTAGCCAGTCCATGGTATAGTTAATATTATTCCCCAATATCATAATTCAAAGGTTTTTTTATTTTTATGCAGAGATGTAATACATATTGAAGGTCTTCATTTATTTTTAAATTAAATATTTTTATCGACATATCTTACTCCTAATATATCCCTTCCCTTCTCATATAGTTCTTTTGTTCAATCCCATTGGGAGGGGCTATTATAATCATCAATGCTATGATTCCCCCCTCTCCCCCTTTCCTCCCCCACCTCTCACTTCCCCCACCCTCAGGGAACCCTTGCTCCTGTCACTGTCTCTGAGGGGTCCCCTATCATGACTACTATGGGCCGAGTGATCTTAAATGTACAGATGAACATATGCAAATCTAGCATGACCAATGAGGTCTATCACATAAGGACCATAATAGCAAGGGGAGGAAATCATAGAGAACTAGAGCAGTGGTTCTCAGCCATCCTTATGCCACGACCCTTTCATACAGTTCCCCATGTGGTGGTGACCCCCCAACCATAACATTATTTTCCTTGCTACTTCATAACTGTCATTTTGCTACTGTTGTGAATCATAATGTAAATATCTGATATACAGGATGAACATCATTAAGGATAATTAAGGCATAGTGATTAATCACAAAAAATATATAATTATACATTTGTGGAATATTTATGTGTTTTCCGATGGACTTAGGTGACCCACAGGTGAGAATTGCTGAGCCGGAGGCTAGTTAGTTAGGTGGTTCGTCAGTGCCACACCACACCCTGGATTTATCTCCGTTCTCTGAGGCCCTTTTTTTAAAAAAAGTCAAATATGTTTTATTTTACAAACCCTCATGCATAGATCTGATGGCAAAATGCTGGTTGTATCAGATTATTCTGCGGTTTCTCTCTCTTTGCCATTTAACTCTGTACTCTTTAATTAGTGAAAATAGGTCTGACTCATTCTTTACAACAACTGCATGATATTGGAGAATGGTGGCAACACATTTAATTCAACCATGCCTACTGATAGACTTACAAATTATTCCCAGGCTTTCACGGCTATAAGCAATGTTGCCTTAAATAGTGATTTTTAAAAATTAAGGGGCTTTGATTTTTCAAAGATGGGCCTCCTAAACTGGTATTGCTAGATGTAGGGTATTTCATCTAATGTCAATTGCCGTCTACTTTGCAAACGGGTGAGTCAGTTTTGCTTTCCCACTAGCAACGGGGAGAAAGAGCCGGGTTTCCAGACGTAAGGTGTTTTCCTAACTTATTCAGCTAGACCTGTGGACTCAGAGGCGTTTCCCTGTTTTGTCATGGAAAGCACAAAGTATTAACATGAGCATTTTGACAAACTGTGTGTTTGAAGCTAGTTACTTTAATTCTGTTTCTAAAAATTTAAGTTAAAGTTAGAGAGAGTAGTGATCATTTCCATAGACCATGGGGGTAGCAGGGTGGAAGTGGGAAGAGGTGATTCAAATTCATTCTTCAACAACTTTCCAAAAAGTGGC